AAACTCTTCAATGAAATTGAAAAGGAAGCAATACTCTCAAAATCATTACTGGAGGCAAGTATTATACTGATATGAAAACTGGAAAGAGACTCAACCAGAAAAGAGAATCACAGGCCAATCTCCCTCATGAACACAGATGCAAAAGCCCTCAATAAAATCCTAGCAAATGGAACACAGCAAATCATCACGAAGATTATACACCATGACCAGGTAGGATTTATCCCAGGGATGCAAGGATGGTTCAACTTAAGCAACTCTATAACTATAATGCACTATACCAATACAGCCAAAAGCAAAAACCACATGATTATCTCAATCGATGCAGAAAAGGCTTTTGACAAAGTCCAACACTCACTCATGATCAAAGCCCTATAGAAAAAGATACAGAATAGATGGCTTGTACCTCAATCTGATAAAAGCCATCTATGGAAAAACAGCAGCCAACACCATTCTAAATGGAGAAAAAATGAAAGCCTTTATTCTAAAATCAAGTACAGGATGTCCACTGTCACCATTCCTGTTCACTATAGCTCTAGAAATATTATCCAGGGCAATTAGACAAGAGAAAGAAATAAAAGTAATAAGAATAGGTAAGGAAGAAGTGAAATCATCATTATTCACAGAGGACATAATATATTATTTAGAAGACCCAAAAGCTCCAGTAAGAAACTCCTACAGTTAATAAATTTAGTAGCATAGCCAATACGAAATCAATACTCAAAACTTAGCAGCATTTCTATATACAAACAATGAACACATCAAGACAGAAATTAGGGAACCAATGCCTTTCACATTAACAGTGAAAAAACCGAAATACTAATAATTTCACAAAAAAGTAAAAGATTTATACAGTGAAAATTAGTATCCTCTAAAAAAAGAGATCAAAAAGGATTTCATAAAATGGAAAGATATTCTTTGCTCCTGGATAGGAAGAACCAACATTGTGAAAGTGGCCACAGCCCCAAATTTGTTATACAGATTCAATGTAATCCCAATTAGAATAACATTAGTATACCTCATAGATCTAGAGAAAACATTTCTAAAATTCGTTTGTGTCATGGGTAATACATTGTATCAACTTGAGAAATTTAGAAGTTTAAGTGATTCAGCAAACAATCATGGTTCTTACTTTGTAAACATCTTCATCCTGGAAGAAAAGGGTATGGACATGGTGTGAATTCTTCCCCACTCGCCCCAGTGTAGCCTGCTTCGTACAAGGAGAGGAGAGAGGGTGCTGCTGCTGCTGCTCCTGCCTGTGCTCTTACTGCTTTGCTGTCTTCTGCTGTCTTGAAGTGCTGCTCCTGTGCCTGCCTCCCAGCCTGGAAGCCACTGAGTGTGGACTGAAACCTTCACAAAGTGTGAGCTAAATTAATCCTTCCTTTCTTAATTTTGGGTGTCAGGTATTTTGTCCCAGCAATGAGAGAAGAGTAACTGACAAGATCTGGAACCAGAAGAGACCTAGAACAGCAAACGCAGTCCTGGGAAGCAAAGGCAGAGCAGGAAGCATGACAATCCCCAACTTGAAATTATACTACAAAGCAACTACAATAAAATCAGCATGGTACTAGCCAAAAAAATTGCCCAAGATCAGTGAAACAGATTAGAAGATGCAGACTCTGACTGCTCTAAATACAGACAGCTACCTTATCTTTGAAAGAGGGGTCAAACTTGTTCACTAGAAGAGCACAGCTTCTTTAATAAATTATGCTGGAAAACTGGTTTTCCACATGTCAAAGGCTAAAATTAGACCCATGCCCATCACAAAACTAGAGTCAAAATGGATCAAAGATTTAAATATTAAAACCAAAACACTAAATCTTCTGGAGAAAAAAAAATAGGCACAAATCTTAAAGGCATGTGGATAGGTAAAGAGTTTATGAATAAAAATGAAACTGTACAGAAAATAATGCAGAGAACCAATAACTGGGGTCTCATCTTTTGGAAAAGTTGTTTCATGTCAAAAGAAATCAATAATAGGGTAAAAATAAAACACACAAAAAAGTGTAACTAATCAACCATGTGACAAAGGCCCTCTATCTAGAACATATAAAGAAAATTTTTAAACATCAGGTCCCCAGAATTCAAAAGCTCAATCCAAAAGTGCATATGAAAAAATACAAATGGCAAATAAACATACAAAAAAAAGTTGAACATCATTGTCCACTCAAGAGATGTAAATTAAAACAACATTGACATTCCATCTAACCCAAGAAAGAATGGCTATGATCAAGAAGTTAGCCAATGACAAATACTGGAGAGATTGTGGGGGTAAAAGGAGTGCTTCTTCACTGTTAGTGGTGATGTAAACCGGTACAACCACTATGGAAATCAATGTGGAGATTCCTCAAAAAGCCAGAATTGGAGGCACCATTAAACCCAGCTATTCCCTCCCCCCAAAAGAACGGAAAACATTTTTCCTAAAGAACTGAAAACATCATACCACAGTGATACACATGTACCCATGTTTATAGCTGCGCGATGTGTTATAGCCAACTATTGGAAGTGCCCATCAACTGAGGAGTGGATAACAAAGATGTGATAATTTTGCACAATGCAATATTGCTCAGCTATTAAGATAAATTTAAGACTTTTATAGGTAAGTGGATTCAACCAGAGACTGCACTGCTAAATGAAATAAATCAGACCCACATGTGCAAACACTGTATTGTCTTGCTAGTTTGAGAACTGAAAGGTATAATAGATATGTGAAAGGGAAAGAACCTATTCAGTGGAAAGGAAAAACAAGGCTGAGGAAAAGGACCAAAGAAATAAGGGGAAAAATATGTTTATGCAGGACAGCTTGGATAATTGTACTGCTGACATCTATTGGTCTCTTGAAAGTAACAGTTAATGCCTAATTTTTAAATTTTTTTACTTTTCTTCTCCTTTTCAATTTCTTATAACTTTATTAATCAGTGTTGAAGATTTACATATGGTAACTTAAACAACTAATTTTAAGATAACATTACACAGTACAACAACCATTGTCAAGTTCTTATTAGTTTGTTTCATGAAATTTTGTATCATTCCTAATTTTTTTATCATTTTGTATTCTTTAAAAAATACCAATAAAATTTGATTCTTTTTTGTTCCAAAAATATATTATGCTTTTTCTAAGTATTCTATTAATATTTGGTTAATTGCATTATTTTAAGCATAGGTTAAGACTTATCAATGATTGCTGATGAACCAATACCGGATTATGTACATATCACTATAGATGGGCCAGTGGTATGCATCTTGCAGAAGTTCCTACTGTATCAAAATCAAAAATTCTGTAGTCATTATCACCACTTATACTGAGTAAGTCACTCTGCATATTATTACCAAACAAATTAAATAATTGGACAGAACTGTTTCAATATATGTTGTTTCGGTAAAGCAAATACCATCGGCAAGGAAGAGATTATTGCAGGAAATTTATCTCTTTTCCTTAAACATAGAACTTGAAGACTAGTGAAGAAAATAGCACTCCCATGCTGTGAAATTAGACAGGGAGAAATTAGCATTAATAATATATTTATCTAAAGATGGAGTTAGCTTTCTTGTAGCTGTGCTACTTAAAATCCAAGTAGAGGAAGGTAGAAAGAGTTGTCATTCTGTCATAAAAATATCCTTCCACTAAAACTAGATTTTCAGTCTTATCTTCAGCTTAACAACAGCATTAACGTCTTATTATATGTGAAGTTATATACGGCACAAGAAAAGGAAAGAAGAGGTACTTTCCTTATTAAATTGTCTAGGAATTAATACAGGAAAAAAGGTAATTTTTAAGAAGTATTTTTGTTTCGTTTTACATATTGCAGTGCTGGGAATCTAGCATAGCCTGATAAGCACCTTACCCCTGAGCCATACCCCTAGTTCCAAAATGTTTCTTAAGGCCTAGCTTGAAACATTCAATAAAACACAGTCTACTGGCAGACAGATGTATTGTGTGCTTGTAATACTCCTGATGACAGCTGGAATCATTATGCATTGCAAGCATGTACCAGTAAAAATTAAATTAAAAAATAAAACCTGAACTCACACATGCCTACCTTTGGGCACAAAATATATTCCTTCACTTTCTTTAAATGAAATCTTTAGAAACAACAAAAATAATCATTCAATTAAAATATTTCATACTCTTTTTTTCTTATGTTCTCTTATCATAACAACATGCCAACAATAGCATGTGAGTTCTTAGACAGTCTTTAGTGAGAGCATTTTTTATTAATAAATGAACCATGAGCAAGTAATAGCAACTCAGTAGGAGATAAGATACCATTACTTCTTTGACTATTTTTCCTGGAATTTGTACTGATTCCAACACATAGGTCTTCTTACATAATGTTCGATAGGGTGAGGACTGCTCTACCTGTTTCATGCTTCATTTTTAATTTCTCATTACAGGGCTCAGAAACAAATCTGTATGTTTTATTGTTGTGATCTTTTTCTGTCCTCCACCAAGGTGAGCATCACAGACATGAGCCACGGTAAAATAGTCAAAATCAAGTTATGACCTCATAAAGATGCTGGATTACACCTTGTGCTTCCAATAGGAAATCTGAAGATTAAATTGCTCATGCAAAATAATATAGCAGGTCA